ACCCAGCACTTGCTGCTCTATTTTGCAACTGGAGCTCCATTTTGGGTGGGCCTGCAGCCCTCACTGTTCTGAGTCTCTGTGAACACCAGGAAAGACCCTCCTGTTTTTCACATTGTTATGAGGGTACACACTCAGTTTCTGAGCCAGACACAAATTCAGGTTTGCTACCACTTTCCTTACAGCAGTTCTTTGATACTTTTTGGTTCAGTTCTGCAAGTGCTGATGGGATAAATAACATTTGGTTGCTGACCTGGAGGTGCTCATATTGCCTACCTGGACTTCTCACTTGCAGTCCCAAGGACACAAAGTATTTCATTAGGGGAATGATGAAGAAAACCAAACTGTAACCATATAATAAAGCAAAACAGAGTTAGTTGGTCATTAGCAACCTGCAGCTTCCTGAAATCAGCATTTTCCTACAATCTGAATAGGTAAGGGGACACATTTCCCTGACACCAGTGTTGAGGACATCCCCAGACAATAAATTATAATCTATTAGAGCACTCCTTTCAGTTATATCAAGAAAGTATTACAATTTTTTTTTGGCCAGTGCAAAAAAAAAAATAAAATCAAATATTTATTGATCCCAGTCACATTTGGGCATCAAATGAAATTACTATTTTCTTCTTAACACTGTTGAAACCAAGGCTGTATAAAAGTAATTTCTCTAGTTGTCAAAACCTATTTGCTCTTTTTTTTCAAGATCTGCCTTCTCACAATCCAGGGAGCAGGACCACTAACACACAGAGGTGAACTAACACTGCAAATGTTTCTCCAGTTTGTTTTGATCTAGCAAAGCAAAGGAGGGGAACAGAGTATCAGCATATTGCGATCAGGTTCATTCCTGTTTTCTGTTTCAAGTTCTGATTTCAAAGACATCAAGACTGCCTTCATGCCTGGTAAATACAACTCACATTTGCTGAGTGGTGATACAGCTTCCTTGTGCCCTACACTTGCATACAGTAATTATTGTCCCATTAGCACTCAAGGCACACATCTGCTAGCCAAGCTGGCAACTGGCCTTGCTAATTAAATTCCCTTTTCAAATTATTTAAGCTTATATGTAGTATCTATATTCCCATTATCCATGCTTAGCTCACATCTCTTCTCTGTGGAATCCGGCTGCATAGCTGTCTTTGTGTTGACAGAGGGAGAGTAACAATTCACTGTCTGTCTTAATGAAACATTTTCCACAGTGCTATAGCCTGACAGAAAGTGAAATAATATTTGCTTAGAAAAGAAAGTTTCCTTTTTGCAAGGAGACAGCTTTTGTTCTGTCAGGAAGATATGTATCTAAATCTAGGTATGCCCTTTCTCCTGCCAGCAGCAAGCTGGAATTATGTGCTTCCTGATTCTCCATTAGGGACAAAGATATCATCAGCATTTAGGCCCCTGGCTGCCCTTGCAGAAGCTCTAGCAGCAGGTGTTATGCAAAGATTGGAAAAAGGTAATATTCCTCACAGAAATAAGAAAACCAGCAGCTTGTAGGTGTAAGTATACAGATGTGCTTTAATACTGTGCATGTTTCCTTAATGGCCTTAATTATAATCTAAATTATTTGTAGTGTTCTTGTTGTTATGTTAATGTTCTCATAAGAGACTAGATGCTGCTGAGGTTTGTTCACATTGATTTGAATTACTCTCTTTTAGTACTGTAATCCTTTTGCTTAGGGGTAAACTATGGCTGAACATATTCATGCAATTTTTCTGAGGGAAAAATAAAGCTATTGGTCTATTTAGTGTTAGAACATGCTACTCGGAAATGGGGCAGTTTAATTTGGAGTAGAGGATGGCACTGAAGGATGATATGGTGGTTTTTCCATGGTATGGCACTCTCTCTCCTACCCCTCACCATGTGCCTGGCTTGCAGGGTTTGCAGCCTGTTTGGTGTAGCCCCACTGGGCACAGGGTCCCTGGTGCTCAAAGGACATCCACCAGCAGGCCTTGAAAAGCAGCAGCCTCTATGTAATCATGACACAGCTTTGAGGCAGTGGAGAAGAAGATCACAGAGATGGCAAAGGAAAAATACAGTGACAAAGGAAAGGCGAAAGATGGAGCAATAATGTATTTTATATTCGCGTTTGCACATTTAACAATTCAGAAATTTCTCTGACTTCTAGGTCTCTGCATTACTTTTTCTTTTCAATTAATTTAGAAGTCTGAATACTTCATTACAAGATTTAGTGGCAGGACAACTTTTCAGCAGCTTGATAATGACTGTTTCCCCCACTAATGAATCTCTCTGTTGTGCTTGCTGGGGCTTCCACTGATTCACATATTATCTTACAGGGAGTCAGGTACCCTCAGGTTATCAACTAATAAAAGAAACTCTTTTTTGCTCTCCTCTACTGTTATGTTTTTGATTTAATTATGAAGTATTTCCTGATCAGCTTGTTCATGATCATTCCAGATTCAAATTTCCACCTGAAATGAACTGGAAAAAAAGAAACCCAGGAAAAAACCAGGCAGGTCTGATGGACCTTCACATTTATACAAACAGGGACAACCGTGGGAATAGGATTCACTGGGACTCCTCCCAGCACTCCCACAGCTTGCTGGCATTATTCCTGCCTTCCTCTGCCTCCCCTACAATTTGCTCTTATTCTTTCTCTGATGATAATGTGAGCAGGGAGGCAAGAAGAAGTAAGTGGCACTGAGAAAATGGGAAGAAAGGGAAATGAAATAATACGTTACAGCAAAAGCTACATTATTGAGGTTCGCTGCTTTCTGAGTTCAGCAAGGCCTCTCCTCTCCCTTCCTTAATGTGCCTTTCCTGCACACTTGAGGCAGTCACCCAAAAGCTCTGCCTGCCGCTGCCAGCTCCTGCTGCAAAGGTGTGAGGGCAGCTCTGAGGACCAGGGACTGCATGGTTCATGAACTCCAAGAGAAGAGTTCTGCTTGAGCCTGCCTCAGGGTCACAGAGATCAAGACAGAAAAATAGTTGACAAATCACAGTTTTCATGCAGGTCAGGTGTTGTCAGCTCTGCTGGATGTCTGAGTTATATTTTGCTGTTTTATCATGAAATGTGTCCCAAAGGTGCGACCTCTACTGAGCCAGATACCACTCAAATTTTTTGTTAAAGTAATTGCTCTTGGCCACATGTTCATGTACTGGCCTGTATCTCTCCTCCCCTTATGATGGAAGTGCATTACATAAGGCACTCAGAAGAACACAATTTACCACAAATCATCCTATACAAGCCCTGAATTTGTCCTTCTGCCACAGACAACTATTGTTGATAAACTATGCAGTAGATGTTCGGACAAACGCTCCACAGAACAACCCTTCCTCACATCCCTGCTCAGCACAGGACACAAAAAGCTCACAGTAGCCTGGGAAAAATTCAGACTTCAAGTGTAAGTTTAAAAGCCACAGCTATGCTGTTTTATGTGAACAAAAACAGTGGGAAGATCATGGGGCATTCATGGCGTTAAAAAAAAAAAAAAAGCTTAGAAATTCGTCATTCCTTTCTTTGCCTTTCTTCAGAGAAAGTCAAATATAAACCCTGGTAACCTCAACTGAGAGAAAATTGTCTTTCAATCTTAAATGTGACAATGGTAAACAAGATATACCAGGCAAACACTTCTGAGGCCTTTATACCAAGGACAAACTGTGAAATTTACTTACTTAGTGCTTCATGAAGGGGCAAAAACCTACCCAAAAGCAAGGTATTCAAGAAATATAGATCTAGTCTGGCTCCTTTCCATCATAATTACAGCAGCTTCATTAAGTAATTAATTAACCCAACCTCAGTATGATGCTCCTATCTGTAGCAAGGTGCTAGTAACAAAAATGGAGATGTTAGTGTTAATGTTCACATAGGACCATGGACCTGTGTGAAGCACTCCTGCAGCTTCTGATTTTCACTTGTCCCACAGCTGTAGCAAAATCTTCAGTTGTCTATGACATAATATCCCACTGCCACATAATATAATATGTATATTATTCAATTGTGAACAGTTAAGAGAAGCTTCTCCTCCTCACAGGAATTCAGGATTGCAGAGCATGTTATGCAATTACAAGGGCCTATGTGAGCTCAGGGGGGATGACACATCCAAGAGTACAGAAAAGCACTTACACATGTAACACAAACCTGTGCAAAACATCTGTATCACTGACTTTTTTTCTATGTTATAAGTTCCATGAAAGTCAGCATAGGAGGTAAAACACTTCTCAAGGATTAGGGGTTTTGAACTAATTGAACTTTTTTGTGACATGTCATGTAGAGAAAAAAAAAGATTGTGACCCAATTAGAAAAATTTGCTCTAGTGAAAAGTCTTTATATCCTTTTTGATGAGTTGATTAGGTTGTTTTAAAGCACGACTCATGCCTGCAGCCAGTTTTGATAATTAATCAGGAAACTCAAGTGTGCAATGCAAGAAATGAAAGCATCAGATGAGAAATGCAGCAAAGAAGTCTTGGTTTAGTCCTGACACATAGGGTTTACCTGTGAACTTCATGGACTGAAAAGCTGTATATGGTGTAGCAGAAGGAAAGCCTCACTTTGTGTCACCAAATATTTCTTGCAGTCCAGGAAACAGTAAGTAATATGTAATTTCATATAGAAATCATGAGAACTGGAGGGCTGGGTCCTTGCAGTGTGTGCACAGGAACATCAATTTGCATAGATGGGATTGGCCATGGGTGCAGCACAAATAGCAATCCTGCTTCTAAGTGGGTTTTATGTGGCCATGCTGGTAATGTTTCCCCTGAACACAGGGCCATTATTTCTGTATGGTGCCTGCATACAACAAAGCATTTCACCTGTGTGGCTGTTGGCTGTTTATGGCTATCTGTGAAAATAATGGGAAGGCATGATGGCCTCAGCCATAATCTTTAAATGGAGGATAATTCTAGCAGCAAATGTATCTAAATAGTAGCACAGATAAGCAGCACCATCATTTCCTTCATCTCTTAACACAGGTTATTTCCAGGTCCTAAGATGGAAACCTTAGGACCTGGAAACACTAAATTTAACTCAGAGAAGCTCTGCAGGTCCGGGTCTTTTGAATACATTATTTTAGTCCTGCTGCACTTCAAGACTTGTTTTATTTACAACATATTCCCCTCAGATGCTGTCTCTCCTGTGTTTTTTATTCTTTTCTGATTCTCTTTATTTCCTTTTTCATTTTATTCATTTTCTTGCTTTGACCTTTTACTTTTTTTTCACACTCATCTCAACCCTTCCTCTCAGGCAGTGTTCCGTTTTCTTCCTTCCTTTGCTTGTCAGTCATAATCTCCTCACTCCTAACTAAACTGCTGTGCTTCACCACAGCCTTGTTACTTCTAGTCACTCAGTCCTCAAAACATCCTGCATTGGAAGAATTTCCTGTAGGAAGTAAAGCAAATCTGCACATCAGCATTAGGTGGAGGGGAAGTTTATTATCTAAACCAGACAGCAAATTATTTTGTTGCATTGATATGGATGGTATATAGGCTGTGTTTAGTGCAATGAATTTGGGATAAAGTATGGGCCAGCACTGGTCTATGATTATTTACTAGATATTGAGCACTCTGAAACTGTTTTGGACCATTCCAAAGATTTCTTATCTAGCTCGTGTCTGGCACATCCTGAGGGTTGGCAGCCCACAGGCAGCTCTGCTGCAGATATCTTGCCTTGGGGAGGATCCTGTGCTTGGTGGAAGAGCTGAAGAGTAAGTCCTCCCTACAGGAGCTGATTCCCTGCTAGGCAGGGCCATTATATATGTGGGTCTAATTTATTTCACTGCAAAAAAAACCCAATTATTGATCAACCTGTTCTAGTGGGGGGTCCGTCAGTCATGGCAGGTGTCTTGAATCCAGATGATCTTTAAAGATCCTTTCCAATACAAAGTATCCTGTGATTCTATGATTCTATGAAAATACATGTGTTTCTCAAAACCTAAAGGTGCAGGGACCTCTTCAGCAGCTGTTACACATCTTTCAGCAGAGGCTCAGGGTAGGAATCTGTTCCACAAAAACTTTGCATTGGGAAAAAGATGATCATACTGAGCAATCTTCATCTGTGAAAAGGAAAATAAGCATTCCCATGAATAGCTACATTTTCGTGATCATTTGATTTGGAACTGAAATGGTACTAAAAATATTCAGGACACATTATAAACTGCACACAATGCTCATCTGTTTTTGATGTGCTATCTTGTACTTACAAACAAGTGTTAGTCTGGGCCAGGTAAACCACAAGCTCTGTAGTTTACATTACATTTGGGTAGACTCACAGGCATGCTACCTATCACATATTTTAAAGCTGGGAATTGGGAGAAAAAGAATTTGGTGTTTGAGATTTTTTCTTGTCTTTGACTGTTATAGGACAATGGCTAGGAATCCTAGCTCCTAAACTTATGTTTGGAAAGTAATTGGTGTTGCCTTTGGATATGAAGAATGAAGAGATTCAGCTGAGAATGTGATCTCTTTTTTGCTAGAGAAATATTATGGAGATAGTGTTTTGGTATCTCGATTCTTCTCACAGGAAATGGCATTGCATGCAGTATCCTGGTTCTCACACATTAAATAACTTCTAGTTTCACAGAATCACAGAATGGGTAAGGCTGGAGGGGACAACAGTGGGTCAGATGCTCTAGCAAGGTCGTCCTCGAGCACATTGCACAGTATTGGATCCAGATGGTTCTTGAATATCCTGAATATCCTGAACATCCACGACCTTGCTGGACAATCTGCCCCAGTGTGCAGTCTCTGGGTGTTGGTCTTCATAGGCACAAGGGCACTGCTGGCTCATGGGCAGCTTGTTGCCCACCAGGACTCACAGGTCCTTCTCCTCAGAGCATTGAGCCTGAGACTGGCCCACAGCCTGTGCTGGTGCATGGAGTTATCCTTCCCCAGGGGAAGGACCCTGAATTTGCCAGTTTTGGATTTCAGAAAGTTCTTTTCTGCCCATGTATTCAAAGTGTCAAGGTCTTTCTGAAGAGCTCACAGCCCTCTGGGGTATTGGCCAGTCATTCCAGCTCTGTGTTGTCAGTGAACTTGCTGAAGAGGCATTTGCTCCTCCATCCAAGTAATTGATGAATAAGTTAAACAATTAACCCAGTATTGAACCTTGGAGGCCACCACTAGCGACAGGCCTCCAACCAGAACCCATGTCACTGATTATGGCCCTCTGGGATCTTCCAGTTCTCAATCCAGAACCTCCTGAGTTTGTTTATGAGGATATTATGATATGGTGTTCCACTGACATTTTTGTTTATCTATATGACTTGCAACTACATGGGGGTTCAAAGGTGTATTTTTTATGATACTGATGGTAACAGCCTGATCAACAATGGGGTACTAGAGATGGTCTGATGGAGTGGTGATTACCATGTCTGTGGTGGGAATCACTGGGAAAATGTTTTGAGTGATGGAGGTGTTTGCCGTGCTAAATGTTCACTGAAGGATTATTAGTTCATGTTATTTGCAATATAGACTTGAGTGTTTGGCTGAGGAATACTTTGCATGTTAAGGATCAGCTTGAAGATGATGTAAAGAGGATGAAAGTACAGCACAGAAACACATGAGCCTATAGGGAAGAGAAATTAGTGACAAAATTGAGTAACAATTTCCACACAAATGTGATTTTCCTCTGACTCCTGATATTCAAGAGATATAAAACACCTTCAAAATGTGTTAATGGTAAATAGAATTATAAGTCTCTGGACTTCTGAGAGGAAGTCCAGGAGTCATGAGATTAATAATGATGCAGGTTTTATGGCACATAAGAGTTTCTCAGTCTCAGTTAAACTCTTGATGTTTCATAATTAAATTTTTGTTGTTCTTCTAAGGACAACTCCAATGGGGATAAAGGAGAGATACTAAATGACTGAATATTGCATACAGTTATATTCACTAAGAGCTGTTCCTCTATATTGCTTTCTTAAGAATAGAACAATCTCTGCTGAAGCTTCTGATGTTAAATGATAAAATGTAAAAAAAATACATTTTTAATAATGAATTTAGGTCTTACATGAAAAAAAAATCTCAATAAAATAGAAAATATAGAAAAGTATTTCATTAATTACTGAACACTTATATCTCCTATGTCTCCATCTATATTTGACTTGAGCAAGCAGAGTTAATTTAACCTAATTCAGCTATTCCTCTGAGTTTCAGAAAGTAATGGAAGTTGAAAAAAGGCTAGACATGACTTTTTTTATGAGGCATCTTATGTAATGTAAGATTCAATACAGCATATTATTTTCATATGCTTCAGTGCATTATATTAGGAAATAGTCTGATGTTCTGCCATTAAATGTTTTTTTTTCCTAATTATTTAAAAATAATGGAATATATTGAAAAGATTTAAAGATGCTCATCTCAGATGCGGCTATAGGAATATTTTCTCTCAGTATACAAATTAGAATGGATTTCAGAAACTTAAAATATTGATTTTTCATGCTTTCAAATTAGTTTTATCTGTAGATTTAACATGATTAATAAATTGGTGTTCAAAACCACCAGATGTAGTTAAATATACAAAACCTGATGCAAGTATTATTTCAACAAATAAATTGACTCATGATAATTGGGTTGCCTTTCAAGAGCACTAGAAATGGACTTTTGCAAGAAATGAGGAGAAAAAAATTTCTCTTAAAGGAAAAAGGTTTTCTAAAAAGATGAAACAAAATCTTTTCCCGTGTTTTTTTCCTGGAGATTATTCCTGAGGCCAGGGTATATAAAGATGGTATTTCTCTTACATACATTTGTTTACTTATATTACCTTCAGAGTAGCTTTAGTTCCTGCAGAGCTGCTTAGTAAATCAAGCAAACCAAACCTTCTGTGGCTTTTCGTTTCTATAAATAGAAAAACATAATAAAGTAATTTATCTCCCTTTCATGGCTAATTTCACATTCAACTCATGCGCAAGATTTAGCATATCATTCCAATCTATGCTGTACAGAACGACTTTTGAGATCAGCCAGGGGGTTTGGTCTCAGATAACCAGATATAAATTTAGAGAACATGCTTTGGTTTGTAGTTCTTATGTCAGTGTGTATGTTGACAAAGCTAGTGCTGACCATGTGTCTGTCTTCCTGACATTTTGAAGCATGCACTTCCAGATTAAGTTTTCATATGCGTGTGATTTAGAGTAGAATTAACAGCGCAACCTAAATACAGTTGGCACATTTTACTTTTATCTCATGAGCTGGAAAGCTTTGTGCTTTCTGCAGCACACAGTGGCATGAAGTCAATGGAGCTCAGTAGTGCTGTGGAGCAAAATGATGGATCAACAACTTGCAGGGTGGTTTTTGCAGACCAGGAGTCACTAGGACAGCGAAATGCTTTGATTATTCCCCTTTGATTAATGTGGATATTGGGGGTGAGGAGGATTGATAACATACCAGCATCAAGGAATGCCTTGAGGAGCTCAAGAGAAGCTTGTGTGGTGTGATGCACAATTTTGACGTGATGCTCTGGAGATCTGGTGCAGATCAGGCTTGTTAAGGTGGAGAGTCACAGCCACAGTGTCTGCTTTTCTTTGTGTTTTCTGGAATGGATTTGACTCTTGGTTGTGATAGCACCAGCAGAGCTAATAGAAAACACAGTACAAAATGGGCTCTGGCACTCTTTCCCTGCTGCAGCAGGAAATCAAATGACAAAATCATGAAACCTTGTGGTAGTGTGTTGTTAAGTTTCTTGTGTTATTCCCCCAATTTATGTATTGTTCTCCCCTATTATGTGTAAAATGGTTTCGTTCCCCCTTCTTTCCCGCCACCGTTAGCCTGCCAGCTAAGTTGCTATAGCAACCGCTATTCATAGTTGCCGATATGTAATTGCTCCTCCCCTGGTTTCCCTTATAAGTGAAAGTTGTTTCCTCCCT